ACTTGACCAAAGTCTAACCATGAAAAGCCAAGTGGAGAACATAAAGAACAAGGCGAAAAAAAGACTCCAACTTAAAAAAAACCCTCGCAAATCGGTTCATGGGGGTCAGACAAACAAACTCTGTGAGCTCTATACCTTGGTTATGGCCGATCTTCCCTGGGATACAGCAATGGTCTACTCACTCTGTGCAGTACAACTACTTCCAACACCCTTGACAAGGTCCAAAATAATGGCTTTCGTTTCATAAATGGTGGCAAGAGATCTACACCTACCGCCGCATGTGAAATCCTTTCGAGTGTTGAACCCCTGGGAATCCGCCAAGATAATTTTCGAGCTACGTGAAAGAACCAAAAGAACGTTCCCCAAACCACCCAAACAGGAAATTAGTAGAAACATGGAAACCTAAGAAACGAATTCAACAAATGTCAATCATACATCACATCATAGAACTAATGGAGAGTCATCATCTACCACAAAACAGAAAAGAAACCAAAAGAGTCAACCAAAACATCCCTCCCCAACGCCAATCATTACAACATCTCTCAGAGACAATAGCACAAAATCTTCAGACACAGTGACGCTGATGCTTGCATCACATCAAACAATCGACAGTTATTCAGATGACTGGATACACGTTTGTACAGACGGCTTAGCGTTCAAAGACACAACCAAAGCCGGATATGGAATACTTATACAGTACCCAGATGGAAGTTCCAGTGAGATATCTTCAGCCTGTGAAGAGAAATGCAGTAACTATGATGCAGAAATAAGGGCAATTGAAGAAGCAGCATTGTACCATCTCCGCACAGTTTTTGACACTCATCCTGGAAAAGCACAGAGTATTGTGATTTTCACTGACTCACTATCAGTCTTGCAAGTTGTGGAAAATGACTATCATTTAAACCAAGATTTAACACATACTGTTTGGCTCCCGTCATCTGATAACATTCTGTGGCATCAACCTGGTAATGCAGTGGGTCCCCGGACACTCAAATGTACCTGGAAATGACAGAGCAGACACACTCGCCAAATGGGGATATAGACAGGAACAATCCAACATTCCAACTTCATACAACACTGCAAAACATATCATTAAAGGCAACAGGATACAAGATTGGATGAACAGATGGTCCCTGGGAAAACAGGCAGAGCAGTTTGCAAATATATGACCACAACAAAACGGAATGACACCTACAGATAAGGAAACAGACCGCCATCTTCCGCCAACAAACAGAACATATTATTCAGCCCAACTTTTACTTGAACAGAATAAATTCAGAACTTCCCCCCAATGTGTCCTTTGTGTGACAATACATATGAGACTGTGGATCATCACCTGTTCCACTGCACAGCCCTAAAGGACATCAGAGCAATCCTTCTCCCCTTGAGACCACATTGACAATGCACTCTAAAGAGCAACTGCAGCAAACCTGCACTTATCACTAAATGACATTGGACAGAAGGGCGAGAGCCCAGCTGTTGCTGGATCGACAACAACAACAACAACAACAACAACAACAACAACAGCAAAAACAACAAGAAGAGGGTAACAAACGAAAAAAGGAGGAGATAGAGATAAGAACGATTGATGTTTGATAAGTAAGAAGGAACAATTCCAGATCGGAGCACCCGCCAACCACCAACATTCCAGTTCCAGAGTGTGCCTCTTGTCAATAAATTGTAAGGAAATGTGAGCTTGAAATATACACAGATGAGTAGTTTGTGCCTGACAGGATTTCCCGTTCATCATCCACCTCCTCTTCCTCCTCCTCCTCATCTTCCTCCTCCTCTTCCTCCTCCTCGTCCTCCTACACGAACACAACTCACTCTAGCTCAGATAGATAGATAGATAGATAGATAGATAAATAAATAGATAGATAGATAGATAGATAGATAGATAGATAGATAGATAGATAGAGAAAGAGAGACAGTGTGTGTGTGTGTATGTGTGTGCGTGCGTGTGTGTGTGTGTGTGCGTGCGTGTGTGTGTGTATGTGTTTTGGTACGTGTTTTACGGCGCTCGCAACTGTATAAGGTCGATGAGCGCGCCGGACACACCAAACATGTTTCAGATGGTAGAAAATTTTGAATTTATGACAAAGTTTTGTCCAGGTGGCGGCTGAAGCCTACTCTTAACGATTTTGGACCACCAAGGGATTTTTAACGTTCGCAACTTGCACACGGGACCTCCGAGATTTTTCGCCCTTGTCCTAGAAGGCTAGGTTTGGATCTTTCCTACCAGACGACAGAACATTGCTTGAGAGCAGGAAAGGAAGTGAAAGGAGACAATTTAGGGAAGAAAAATTTCCTTCGCTATCCGGATTTTAACCCGGGACCAATTGAATGAGAAGTGAACACTTTAACCTCTAGGCCACGAGGACCCCCAGTGTGTGTGTGTGTGTGTGTGTGTGTGTGTGTGTGTGTGTGTGTGTGTGTGTACAAGAGAGAAAGAGAGAGAGAGAGAGAGAGAGAGAGATAGAGACAGAGACAGAGACAGAGAGAGAGAGGGGGTGGGAGAGGGAGTGTATGGGTTGTGGGAGAGCCATGAAAAGGGAAATAGAAACAGAGAGAGAGAGAGAGGAATGGGGCAGGCGGAAAAGAGAAAGAGATGGGTAGGTAGGTAGGTAGGTAGGTAGGTAGGTAGGTAGGTAGGTAGGTAGGTAGAGAGAGAGAGAGCGAGAGAGAGAGAGAGAGAGAGAGAGATGGAGAGAGAGAGAGAGATGGG